GAGTTTGTTTAATTTTTATATTTGCCCTTAGTGAGAGAAAAAGAGGAGGCGCATTTTCTTTGGTTACCGATGCGTCATGGGGCTGGCGCGACCGGTTCTTCCATTATGTGCGGTTACTCTCTTGCAACAACAGGGCCTTGGTTGTATTTAGAGACGAAGAGCGAGCGTTAAGCGTATGGAACCTCAAACCCGGTGTCACTTTACAAGAACAATAGCCGCGCACCACGTCCCACGACATAATACGCGTAGTTACAATTCCAACGGCTCGCGGCACGGTCTGTACGGAATAACACGTATGATAATATAATATGATATTACGATGATAATACGTCTTCGAAATCGTTTTTTTTTGTTATTTTGGAAGATAAAAATAAAAGGATTATTTCATAATTAGTCAATTAAAGTAATTTGTAGACAGTTTTCATGTGCTAAATAGAATTAAAGTGTTTTAACGGTCCTAAAATTTTTTTAGTTCAGTATAACAGAATATTTACCACTCTAATGGAACAATTAGTATTGCTTGTTTGCCCCATGGGTGATTGTTTGGTAGAAATTAAAACATATAATTATTATTTGTTTTTTAATCATTATTATAGTAAATTAAAGAAGCTGAATGCGAGAAGCCCAAAATCGATCTAAGTGGCGTGCAATGGGAGAGTCCTATGTTCAGCAGTGGACTGCGATAGGCTGCTGATGAAAAAGAAAAAAAAAACATTTGCAAATTTTCTTACAATTTCAGATAATCGAAAAACGTGATAGTTTAATATAAATAAAAATTAATTTTAAATATTACAGATTTTGTTTTGTTGTTTGGTTAACAACAATTATCTAATTTAAAAAAAACGAATAATTATTGAAAAAAATAGTGTTTATGTAGAGATTAGCCATACGTTTTCGTAGGTTCTGATATATTTAAAAAAAAACATTGAAATAATGCAGGCTTAATCATAAAATAACTATTAAGAAAAACAACATTGAATAGTGAGTGTAATTTTTTTGTAAGCAGCCTTGCTTTGCGCAAACTGATCCATCGATCGAACTCCCTACTGCAGTTCTACTGAAGCCTGCTGTCTAGACCAATAAATACTATATTGAACTGAATCATTTGTATTACATAGTAAAGTAGTAGTATAGTAAAGTAAATTTTTTTTATAATATAGTTTTTCAACGAGAAGTACTGTAGAAGTAATCTTACATCAAAACTTGAATATTAGAGTTAAATATCGATACATCACTTTTACTAAGCCACGGAAGTCCGATGCCAATAAATCAACGGGCAGGTAATAGGTTTTTTTGATGACCATTTAAAAATATTGCTTTGGACTATTTGTGTAACGCTCCATAGGCAAAAAATGAAAACATATAGAAAAATAAAAATGTCTCGGCTTCAAGGCTTTTCACGTATCAAGAACCCAACTAACTCCGCCGAAAGCCGTAATCCAATTGCCAGTCAATGATGACGTATAAACCTATTAGTTTGTATTTATCCGTATGCTGTAATTGTAATTACCATACAAAAGCTAAATACATAAGTAAGTCGATAGAAGCACGGTCTGTGTAATTCACAGATGTTGATTTAGATGTATTTTGAATAGCTCTGTGGTGTATTAATGTGTAATGGTAAAAAAAAAAAAAAAAAAAAACAATTTTGAACCTTTCTATCACTTCGAATTTCCTGGTTTATGAAAGGCATTGCGCACCCTTAGTAATATAAAGGCATAATACAAAAAAAATAGTTTTTCGGAAATCGCGTTTAAAGATTCTGAATTCTTACGTTCCAGCTTATTTTTGGAATAAAATAAAATGCTTATTAAAGTTATAAATGTGAAATTTATACTTTGATAACTAAATAAAAAAAATTGCAATGGCACACCTATTCCTTACAGTGATAAGGTCAAAAATCTGGGGATTTGCATTGACAGTACCTTATCCTGGGGTCTTTAGCTACAAGAACTGAGTCGCAAAATGTTTTGCCGCTGCAGGGTGTTTGCGCCGACTACGCAGCTTTCTACTTATTCCAACCAAGATTGCTCTTGCACAGTCACTTCTTCTCCCCATTCTTGATTACGCAGATGCCAGCTATCTAGATCTTAGTGAAGACCAATCGAATAAACTTGAGAGACTCGTGTGTAAGTATAATATGAGCATTCCGGAATGCTCATATTCTTTCTCTTCTCTACAATATTCTTTTTAATTCCTTCACTTCACGTTACCTTAAATTATGGTTCACCTTTTTAAATGATATACACCCCAAATTATTGAGATATTCAGAGAACCTGAAACTAAAAATGCCGGGACATTCAACTAAATTCTTCGTCGTCCTTTTCTGTTCAAGCAGTTCGGTTGTGGAACGCCCTACCGGTCGCAATCAGACGTGCACAAACACTTGCTTCCTTCAAAAAGCAATAAGAATATTACTTGGGAGAAATCAATGTGCCATAAGTTATTAACTTTCTACTAAGTCAATAAGGTTTCATACAATATATGTATTTAGTAGTTATAAATCACAAGTATTTATTTTATTATATGTATCTAATAACACCACTAGCCTTGTTCTACACATAGTATATTCCCTCTAGTAAGTTATATACTCACCAAAGTAAAACAAATATATACTATGTGTAACTATCACTATATTTTATATTTTTAAATTTATATATACTACTTTGATTTCATCTTTTTAACTATATCTTAACACACCAGCCATTGTCCTATAAATCTTCCCCTTCATGTTTTCTCTCCATACCACGGTTGCCTGTAAGAGATTGCCTCTGAGCGATAAGGCTGCCATTTGTACTTGTCTAACCTAATTTAAATGAATTATTGTATATTTATGCCTGGTGTACATTAAAGCGATATATATATACAGTGCAACCTCGATATAACAAATCAGAAGGAAACAAGTAAATATTCGTTATTTCAAGTAATTCGTTAAACTGAGGTTTGTTATATTGAGGTTAGGTGGTTCCAAATTTGTTATAGAGATAAAAAATAGTTTTATTCACCTCAAAATTACGTACTCATCTTTTTATAGCGAACAACTTCTAATAATAAATGAAAACACCTTTTTATCAAATTACTGTATGTATTTTCTATTTAAAAACAATTAGGTAGGTAACATTTTTTTTCCCTTAGATTAATAATCAAAATTAAATGCAGTAAAATCCGTAAAAGTAGGTATCAAGGTGGGTTCATACATTATGTAGGTAATTTAATGTTAATTTCAAAGATTCGCACAACAAAACTCACATATTAAAGGTAAAAATCAACAATGTGGTTATGGTAGCTTAATCTTAATTTTGGTCATCTTGATTAGAAAAAAAGTAATAAATTGTTGTCTGTTTACCACCGGTAACAGTTATCACATCCAATGCGTGATGGATTTGACTACATCGTCGCTCAAACCACACTTTTTGAGAAACACGAATTTTATTATATTTAAAGCATTATGAGCATCTTTTATTGTAAAGTCAGGTTCATCAATTTCATCCCCTTCTTGCTCGCCTTCATCCGCTTCTGCATCACACCTTTTACGTTTCTGAGCCATTGCAAATAGAATCTGACAATACTGATGAGCAGCACTGTTTACATTACTTTCCACCAAACAACACTGATTGTTTTACGAAAAAAAACGTGTCGGAACCTGTCGCGACTGAATCACATACTATGGGATTAAGGGTCATATTGGTGGAAACATTATACAAAGTTTTCGGTTGACAAAATTCGTTAATAGAGATATTTACACTTTTATTTTATAGTTGAAAATTCGTTATAAAGAGGTTGTTCTCAAAAAATCTTCGCAATATAAAGGTATATTTTACATTGATTCTTATGGACAATTCAAGGGGATTACGATGAATTTGTTAAATCGAGGAAGTCGTTATATTGAGGTACGTTATATTAAGGTTGCTCTGTATATGTATATATATATTAATTTCCATAAATTACAAGTGATTAAAAAACACTTTCAAGTTAAGTCCATTTAGTACAAAAAATATCTTCACTTTTTGGCAATACAGCGATCAATTATAAATCAAACCCAAAAAAAAAAAACGAAATTTTGTATAATATAAAAGCGCAACTACAAATTGTTCTATTTAATACAAAACGTTTAAAACAAAGCTTACCTGTTTTTTGGCCACGGAAGGGCGCAAACACGAATAGAACAAAGTTTTGACGGTTCGCTTTCGGCAAATATGGAGACGTTACTGCTTGTGATCTTGTAGCACTAAAAACGGGAGGCGAGCGGGGAGAGTGTGAGAGAGGCACAAATATATTTACCAAGTCTTTATTATACTTTTTCTTTCTCAGTCAGTGCTAACCGGTAGAGAATTTGATTTTGTGTCCTTAGCATTTTAAATCACACTTCTCCAAAATTTTGACTTGACCCCTTATTATTGACTAAGGGAGTGATTGACACTTATAATTTATTATATTATATGTTAAGTCTCAATCTACTTACAGATAAGTATGATCGAAGATAATGATAAAATTTCAAAGAAAAAATATTTTATTATGTTTAGATTAATTGTATTTATCTTGATAAAACAAGTACGAACATAGTGTACATCTGGCGAATGGTTACTCGTACTACATAATAATGTCCTAGATATTTTCTATCTATGTGTTGAAGCCATGTTGCATATAACATTACACTATACTAACATACAGTTTAACTAGCATTTTTCATAAACTATTAATTGATTGCATTAGTCTGTAGCTGGTATTTATGTACTCGGTCACTTATAGTTGAAAATTATTTAAAGTCCGCAGTAGGCGAGACGTCACGTTCAAATTATCACAACTAGCATAAAGAGACAGACACGCGCGCATGCGATAACCTGCTGAAAACTGAACACGACAATATAGCGTAAATGTAGATTAAAGTATGAAATATTGTTTTCCAATAATTGTGAGTCCGTTACGTTTGGCCTGTTTTGATTTTACATTTTACACACTGTGTTAATTGTAGTTTCTCCTTTGCAAACTTTGCATTACAACTACATGTCATTGCTACGTGGGTTGGCCGCCACGTTAGGCGGCGGTTTTATTCTCCGCGCCGACCGGCAGTCTAACACAAGTCGCGCTCGCGTGCGATCCTCTTCAAAACTGGAGGTCTCCGTAGGGCCAGTATGCTTAGACAATTCGGGAGTTGCCGAGGGTCCTCCCCCGGTGGCTTTGCGCTCTGTTGGAGAAGTTACTGTGCGCTCCGAACCCTCTCTACTTCGATTAGTTGATAGTGATAAAAGTGGCCAATTAAGCCGCGCCCGTGATCGCCTCTCTTCTTTCTGTCGAAAACTGCGGCGTACTATCAGTGAGTGTTTACATAACATGAAGCCTTGATTTAAATTGATCATGGATCGGTTACTTGTTTTCGTTTTGCGTCCAGTTTTGCCCTGTTTGCTATAAATGCCGTCATACTTATAACATATGTTCACCAACAATGTTCTAATGCTGCTTTTGTGTTTTGCCGCGACTCGCAGGCGACGTGGATACACCTAAAAAGATCGAGCTGGCTCCAGATAAGAAGGCTACGCCCTCCCATCGTAAGTGCTAGATTTGGCGCACATTAGTTTGGCTTTAGTGCCACGGGTTGATCTGTTAAAATATCCACTCTCATTTTACCTATTACTTTTAATAAAGCGAGAATCCTCTATACCCATTAAAATCTCTGTATTAAATCATTTTTGCAGGTAGTGTGTATCGTGTAGTTATTCCAAGATTATTAAAATCTCATAGTAGAGGATCATCGCAATTTTAGCAAATAAATTTTTGGTCTGTTTCATTTTTGTATTGATTGTTTGTGTTGTAATGTTTGTAGATTTTAATTATAGGGATGGACTTGACACACATACTACTTATTCGGTTTTTTTAAACTAGTGATTTTAATTTCGGTATATAAGTTTAATCGTCGTGTGATGTTAATTATTATTTTGTCTTTACTGCTCTAGGTTACATAAAAAAATCTAAACACTAGAACACGCATAAGTAGTAAATAATAGTAAATGTTAGTCGGAATTAAGTTTTGAAGTTATTGGTTCGGGGAAGTCCATATTGGTGAGTTATATTATGTTTTAGTTTAGATCTTTAGTTATTAACTACAAAAGTATGTCATAGTTAAAGATTATTCTAATAACAACATATATTTTTACGTGAACACCAGTAACATATCATATTTTTTCTACAAAAGTTATGATGGGTATCCTACTTTTTTTTTAAACGAAATTTAAAAGGCGTCAATTCAGTAAAAAATATTATTATTGAATTTCATATAATATTAAAATAAAGATGTAGTCATCCGCGACTAAAAGGTCTATGGTATGTGACATGTGCACATACACATACATAAGAAAAACTTTACAATACAAAAAACTGTAGAACGAACTACCCTGACAGAATACATTTTTAGACAGATTAGATTTGGCTCGAGAGGCTTCACGGAACCCTCTCATACCAACTGACGCAGGTGATCACCGGGAAATGTTGTTTAGGAGATCAGCTGCGTCTGATCCGCAAGGAGCCAACGCCTGAGTGCCGCCACTGCGATGGCCGGAAGGCCTACGGGGGACAGGTGAGGCCATCTGCCCCCTAGCAGAAGCAGGCCGGAGTGGCTGCGAGACGGTCTGCCGAGCGCGCGCGCCCTTTTGGCAGCCCAAAGGGAACATGGTGATTTGTATAAAGTACGAAACGACAAGTCGTTTCGTCGTTCCACTTAGAGATCGATTATTTTTAGGAATTGGAAAAACAGGATCCGTTAAATGCCGACAAATCTGTGAATTTGTTCTATCGATTCCCAAAGGAACACTGCTAAGCCATCTAATTTATTACTCATTTTTGATCCCGACGTCACGTTAATCGGTTTCTGTCAGTCGAACGCGTCGCGCATGCGCATGTTTGTGAGTGGCCCGCACGCATTGCAGAGGGTGCGAGTTACCTGCGCGGTTGGCTCGCGCTGGTACATGCTCGAGTCGTGGGACCCGCTTGGTCCTTTTCGCAAAGCTACTTGCAACGTGTGGAAGCACCCTTACCTTACGCTTTTCACAAACTATATTACGATCGCACTGTACCTACTTACTAGGGATGTTACGGACGTGAGACCACCGGTAATGGAGTCGAAATCGGAGTTTTCAAATTTTACTTATCGGAATTGAAATCGCGTTAGGAATCGAGAGTGGAGTCAGGCTACAAAAAAGATGTTTGTAAATTATTACGGATAAAATATATACAAAACTAGCTGATCCGCGGCCCTTCGCCGCTTTGATAGCCTTCCTTAATACATGGACTATCCAACACTAAAAACGAATTTTTCAATGGGAATCAGTAGTTAATGAGATTAGCGGGTTCAATCAAACACACAAACAAGCAAACTCTTCAGTTTTATAATATTAGTATAGATTACAGTTTGTAAAATAAATCTTTTATTGATTTACGAACTCATGAAGTAAGGTCGAATGGTATTTTTTCAGTTTCTTGAAATCCGTAATGCATAATGCATTCTTTGTATTCATAACGAGCCGTCTTTAAACATAATTTAAATGAAGAAGATTTTTTTTCGAATTTTAATCGAATTTTGATGTTTGTTTTTCTTAATTCGAATGTTGTTTTTTTTGTATGTACGTTAGGCGATATCTATGCCATATATAAACTTTTATAAATCCATTCATCCATCCATTTTAATATTTTTTTTAATTGAATTAGTTGCAATCAAGGTAGCTCTCGGTTAACTTTAAATAAAATATTCCATCTATAGGAACTGAAAATTACAGCCTATTGTAATTTATCAGGACTCAGGTGTACCTAAGTCGACGGTACTCGTTTAAAAAAATATAGTAATTTTACATTCTGCCGTATTTGCGTCTAATTTATTGAAGCAGTTTCATATGAAATAAAGTTTTAACCGAAAATAAATGATTTTTTCTATTTTTCATTACGAGTACTGAAAATAATAAATGTAGGTTAAAAAATCTTTGAAGTTGGGAATTTAATATTTACATCGATTTCTTGAAAATACTATACGCTTGAGGAGAGTACCGTATAATTGCACATACAACAGTCAGTATAAGAAATGCTGTGAAAGATGTTTATTTTTTAACACCGCATAAAAATCCATAAAAAAGAGAGTACATTGTGATTTGCTTTAGAATTTGTGAAATTGTTTAGGTGTCCGTATAACTTTAACTACATGTCGTGTCATACAATTGTTTCTATGGCATGCAGTGAAGTAACGGGATTTGTTGGTAGAAATAGTGATAGCAGTATTCAACCATAAAGCATTACATTGAAAGGCAGCAGCCTTGACATTCGTGACGATTACAAAGTAATGACAACAGCTATGAATTTCAATTTTACTCAATATGAGATAAAGCATTTCCTCTGATTTTACTTGTTGAGACTATCTACAAAGGGTAAATGATAACAAAAACGTTTGGGATGATAAAGATGTTGGTAAAAGTAAACTAAAATGCCTTTAAAAGCACCCTACCCTTTTTTACGATACATGATTTTTTGGTTAAAAACCATTTTTTTTAACTCCCAAATATATTTTCTACTGTTTAATTCGAATTATCATTAATTTCCCCGTTCAGCTAGATACAAAAGTTCTTTTTTTTTTTAGATTGACCCATCGTTACCTGAACGTGATTTTTTTGTTATACAAACCAAATTTGTTTCGTTGCGAAATAAACGAATTACTCTCCCGTTGATCCTGCCAGCTGTCATAATAATATGCTTGTCTCAAAAAATAAGTCACATATGCTTTAGTACGTGACACAATTCTGTGTTTTCAGATATGAAAAAAATCGTTAATCCTGAAGATCCTAATCAAGTTATTCGGACAAACTTATTAAGTTATTGTTTTGTCATCGGTCCTTGATAAGTGCGCGAAGTTTCAATACAATGCTATGTTTATAAGTGCGTGAAAATGACGTTTAAAGCATCCTTAAAAGATACATGCTAAGCTAATAAGAGTGCGTTAAAATCAAATAAGTGCTGTATGTTATAAATGCGATGCAATTAATTATCATGAAATTTTGTATCACGTTTGTATCTGATAACGTGGGGTAGAGAACTCATCCAGATAAATAGTAAAATCATTGTAGCATAAAAAAAACCACAACGAGCGGCGGGTAAAAGCTAGTAAAAAATATTTTTTCTGTGAAGAGTGAATAAACGTTTTCAGTTCCATACAAGTATATTTATTTGCTAACTTTTAACAGCAAGTCCAGAAATTGCGTCACGATATATATACATCTAATCCTCATGCTCATACATTGGAAAATCAAAAGTTTTGTATTTTTTCTGTATTATTAAGATAGGCGACATTAATTTTGACGAACAGAATAGGCAATTAACAAAGTTTGACCAGATATTCGGCGACTAGATATCCGACAATTCGGCCTGCTGCTAAACAGTTTATCTCTAATAGATGTATAAACCCGTCCTTCTAGTTAGTGCTGATAATATTTCAGTCAAAATATACCGTAATCTCACTACTCGTACTATCCATAAAAAACAAAAAAGAAACAATTTCTTCATACGGTTATTCATTGCATTTAGGATACAGAATCTCGTTCTAGTCAAGTAAACATAAATCACAGTCGCAAATCTGTTATCAAAGCCAAAAAACACTTTCGTATCGCACTCTAGAGTCAGTAGTAATTATTTGATGATAGTTGCGGAACAACCAGCACGTTTGATTTTATTTTCCGTTTTACTTCCTGCTTTTGGACACGTGAACGTCTGTCTGTACATATAAAACGCGGCGTGACGAACCTTCGTCTTTACTTTCTAATGTATTTATGCTCATGTTCTAAATAATTCACACAACTAGTTACGCTACCGTTGCCACTGCGCTGTTAAAGTGTAAACGTTAAAGTTAAAGGATTGCACAACGTATGACGTTAAAATGTTAACAATGATAATTTACTACTTATTTTACTAATTATTTTAATTTAATACTTTATGCATACGTGTGGGTTGTACAATGGCGGACTTAATTCTAACTCAGGGTGGTGCTGAAATGTGTGACTAGGTGCACTAGAGATTGATATGTAAAGTAAGAGAAAATTAAAAACGTACCACATACATACATAAATACTTACCTAGTTACATGCATACATAAAACTACATATTGATAATATATAAAACTTTAAGGTTGTAATGAATCTGTTAGGGTGTCCAGAATGCGACCTCGAACTGTCATCGTCAACGGCTGGGTGCTATCCTGATTTCCAGAGGAAGAGCGTTCCAGAGGAGTGGACACAAGCGGAAGTATGAGTGGGGCATAGCAGAAGAGGATTGTTTGGTGAACGGAGGGTTCTATCGTGGTTGGAGCACAGGCTCCAACCACGATAGAACCCTCCGTTGGAATGAAGATTTCAGGTAGGAGGGAGAAATGGGCGAGTTGAGAATAGAATAGAGGGTGGTGAGGCCGCGCAGCTGACGGCGCTGACGAATAGTGAGCCAGTTTAATTCGTGACGAAAGGAGGATATCGTCATATTTTCGAAGGTTGGAGACGAATCGAATGCAGTTATTCCGAAGGCAGTC